TGAGCCGAACAAAGTTGGTGCATAGTACTCCACGATTTTAAAAAAATGTTTCTCAAATACAAAACTCCGTGGTGCATTTCTGTGTGTTATTTTATTTATTTATTTTTTTATTAATATGCCTTTATTTAAATCATCATTTTGTCTTACTTAAACTGCTGCTTTTCACCTATTACCGAATTCACTTGCTTAACGGTACTTTTGCTTTGCTTACATAGTTATTTTATGTGAACTAACATTTGTATTATATTATATATATTAAATATTTCTGGACAATTAGGTGTAAATTAGGTTAACTCAGGGGAGCTCACTGTAATCAATTTTGACATTCGCCATTTTTTGTATACTGTTTGTTGCTGTTTTTTTATATTTTTGATGCAGCAATTTTTAATTTTGCTTTGAAAAGTGTTTGTCCATTTTTGAACTTTTAGATTTTTATTGTTTCCATTTAAAATTTTATTAACTTAAAAATTATTTTTTTGCGACCAGTGCTTTTGGTAGCTTGTTTTGTATTTTTTGTTGTTTGCGTTTTTTTTGTGTATCATATTCCTGTAATTACGTATATATAATATATACTGGTATATATATATGTTTAAACTTTAATTTTTAATTTTTATTCTTTGTTTTTCGTAATTTCTACAGTACTGCTTCTTAATTGCTATATTATTTTTGTTGTTGTATTACTCTTAATTTTCGTTAGTTTTTATAATTTTATTACTAAAATTAAATTTTTTAGGCTTATTCAAATTAGTTTTATTGTTGAATTTTTGTTTTCATTTATCCTATTTTTTCTTTTTTTTTTTAATTTGTATTTAAGCCTTTAGCTTTTAGTTATTTTTACACTTTTTGCAACTTAACAAATATCGTAGCTTTTCTTACATTTATTGACATCAGCTCCATATTATTTTTTAATGTTATTTTTTTATTTATATTTGAGTTTTACTATTTCTAATCTATCAACATTAATTGAACTAAAATTTATTCGCATCATATTTTGCTTTTGTTGTTGCCAGCTTCTGGCGTTTTTTTGTTTTTTGTTTTGATTTGCTTAACTTGAATTTTGATTTTTCATATTTGTTTTATTGTTTCTGTAAATTTTAGTTTTCGTTTGTATTCCTGTTTTTGTTTTTGCCTTTTTCGTTTAGTATTGGCATTTTCAGTTTAGTTGGACTTTCATAGCGCTTCTACGACATGCACAGCAGTAGAACAAATATATATTTCTAACAAAAAACATTTTTTTTACAAAATAATTTTTATTACCATTTATGCTATTTGCTTTTTTCACTTTCTATATATTTCATATATTCTGTGAATTGATTTTATCTACTATTTTAATTGAGCTGCAACCATGGGTCCAGTTTACTTTTCTCAGTGTGAAAGTTCCTTTAAGAGTTTATACATGTTACTATATGTGTGTATGTATGAATGTCCAAAATTCAATAGCTCTTGTTTTATATACATAAGTTATTTATTTATACTACAGATTCATTTATACATAATATATATATAGTACAATGTGTCAAAGTAAGCTGACTTATATTTTCAATATGTATTTACTATATTTATATTAAATTAAAAATTTGCTAATGGCAATTTAAATAAAATAATGAATTAAAAAAAGATCCATAAAATGTTCTCTAAGAAATGTAATTAATTTCAATCCTTAAACCAAAAAAAAAATTATTTTCAGCGCAAAGGCTTAAACAAAAACAAATGAGCAGCAGCGCCACGTAGCGAAAGCTTTTAGTTTGTATGTATACATAAAAATCGACAATTAAAATTTTGACGCCAAAGTTCAGTAATATAATCTTTCTAAGTTGAGTGATAGAGTTTCACTTAAAACGAAGTAAAAAATTAGATTTATTTTTAAAACTCATTTTGTTGCTGAAACAATTGATAAAAATCGTGAAGATTCTTTAATGGAAGATAAATTTTTTGTTGGAAATACTCTTGGTTTTAAAACTTGCGAAAGAAGAAAGGTTTTCTGCTGTCTCGGGACTCTTAATCACTTTCTTTAAACGAAACGTGCATAAGCAATCTAATCTAACATCTTTCTAATATAAAACAGTTTTTATTGAAATCATCAAGTGAATGCATATTCATTATCATTCACATATATTTTCATGGTTTTAATTTAGTATTATATTAAATATTTAGCTCAGTAGCTATTCACGAACGTGGGCATCGGTCACTATTTTAAGCACAACTCACCTCGAAATAAACCATTTTAATTTTCGCTTAATTAGCTTAATATTCTAAAAAAATTCGAAGAGTAGCTGTCATAGTAAAATTGCGAATGGATTGTCAATACTTTATACAAGAAGTACGTGACTCGAAAAAAATTTATTATTTTCTACAAAATTAAAAAAGAGAAACTTTATTATAAATATTAATAAAAATTTGTCTGTAAAAAATTTCTAAACATACTGTAATGCCCAATAAAAAAATTAATTCTGGTTTATTTGTCATCATTCTTTCATTAACTGGTTGCACTAACAACTTTTTATGAGCTCATAGCAGTACATTCCTGACCGTAGTAACACTTCAAACGCATTTTTACTTATTTATGAGAAATGAATTTGTAATAATTTTCCACACAATATTTTTTGTTGCGAAATTACTAAATTAATTAGAAGAATTTGAGTTCATTAATCACACGTTATTGAATGCTAAACAAAATTGAAAATGAAACAAAAAAAAAGAAAAACAATTTGGGCTAAACTATTTTATTACATATGTACAAAGGTTAAAAGGCTAATTAAATCAGTACAGAATTTGTCGAAACGATTATTCCTCTATAACATATTTCATAATTTTTTTTTTGTACATGCTCTAACTTTTTAGTTGCTGATTTTTAGTAATTGTGCATACAATTTACAGATATTTTTTAGCTCAAACATTTATGCAATAACGAGCCATTTGTATTCTTTATACATATATTATACATATAAATACTTACTACTCGTACATGTTTTGCTTAGTGTGTGTATGTGTGAGCTAAGCCTATGTATGAGTATTTATAATGTATATTTAATGCATTACAAATAGTTTATGCGTGTGTGTGCTCATTTATATAGGCTTTGCTTATGTATTTACATGTTCAAAATAGAGCGTAAAATTAATATTGGTTTAGTCACATTGTAATTTATGGTATATGCACTCATATATAATATATAGGATAGGTATTGTTGTTGTTGTTTAGCTTATTATGGCATGAAAACATGTTTTGATTTTTTATGTATTTTTTTTTTTAATTTTGATTTAAGTTAGTCACACATGAGAAGTTCTAAAGTAATTTCGTGTAAATTTGATTTATTCGTAGATATTTGTTGTATGTATGTATGTAGCTGTATGTAATTGTTTATTAAATATATATTTGTAAATGTAGTTGACTTGTTTAATTGCTTACAAGGTTTATTTGGTTTGGCGACATCATAATCACATCATTAGACAAAATATTAAAGCTATTAACTAAATAAAGAGAGCAAGATAAGGAGCGAGAGCTTTGACAGAATTTTTAGTAAATTTGTGTGCATTCATGTTCTGTTAACAATAAGCAGTTTAAAGTTGAAGGGAGAAATCTAAGAATGTTCTCTAAATACTCCTGCTTAAATAATTATTCGAACTAATTTTTCAGAACAAGAATAAATTGTTCTGTGTAGCATAATGTAAGCTCTAGTCAAAAGAAATCCATTATTTTAGCATTCCATTGCAGATTTTATTTAACTTAGTCAGAATGATCCGATTTAGCTCAAAAATGCTGGATTACTGTCACTTTAAAGATAATTTCATAATGCCGCTCTCACAGAAACCTTCGTCCCTATTGGTAAAAATTCGCACACTCCATTTCCACAAGCTTCTTTTGGGGCGAGTTTTTCACCAGCAAACTCATTCGCCAAAGAGAGCAAAAGGAAACAATCACATGGGCACAAATTTGGACTAAAAGGTGGACTAAGCTCCTGGAGCTCTTAGCGAGTTGCTATCGATGTGTGTGGCCTGGCATGATGGAACACATTTTCTCTCCTATTGACCAAAGCTGGCAGCTCCAGTTCAATGGTTAACATACAGGCCCGGATTAAGAGAGCAGCTCATAAACGATTATTTTCTGCCAAACCCATTACATAACAAAATTTTAATTTAGAAATCGTTTGGGTTGATAAGGTTCTGAGTAATAAACCACATACAATGTTTATTTTTGACGAACGTTTTCATTACGCAAATAAAAGTTGCAAACCATGCTATATAATATTATTAAAACTATATAGAGGGCACATATGGGTTTAAATTTATTGAAATAATGGTACAACATTAGTACAAAAACTCTTATCTAAATGTCAGTTTGGAATTTTTTTTAGTGGGTTATTTGATGAGAATAAAAAATTTATGGATAAATAAATTTTAGTATAATTAGAATAATATTTATAACAATTAGGAAGGGTAAGCGAGCCAAAATAAATAATAAAATTAAAATAAATCATAATTATAAACAAAAACTTTTTTGACTCAAAGTAAATATTGACTTCCTGCTTCTTTCAATGTCGCCTACCAACTGTTTCGATTGGCTGTGTAAATTCGTGCCTTTTCAGCCGGATTTTATTTTGCAGCAACATTTTGCGGTTTCGTAAGCCTTACTACTACAATAAATATTTGCTTGAAAGTTTTGATTTTAATACTCCATAAATTATGCGTACACTTGTACAAACATACAGAAAGCGTGGATAGCGCCTTTGTGTAATTGCAATAACTGTAAACAGCCAATATGCTGGTGTTCGTTAATAATGCCAAAACTTACACACTAACACATTTAAACTTTTTTTTTGATTTTTCTTTTGTAATTTGTTTGTTTTGCTATTTTACATATATTTTGCTGTAGTTTTTGTTTTTCTTGCTTAAAAACTTAATTTACATTTAATTATTTTAAGATTATATTTATATGTTTATTTGTTTGCTGTTATTTATTATGGCTTTTCTTCGGACATATACTGTATGCACACTACTGTTGCTGTTTTTGTTTTTGTAGTGTTTGATCCTCACAGCAGTCATCAAATGTTTCAATTAATTTCATTATAATTATTTCTCACTATTTTCTTTACGCCTTTTTTGTATTTATTTTTATTTATACCAGACATATTTGCAATATATATTTTTTTTTGCTAAATTTACCGCTATATATGCTTAATATTAGATTTCATTTGTTTCCAATTTTCTTTATTTTTTTTTTTTGCTTTTGGTTCTCATTTAAATTTCGTGTGCAAAATGAATTTGCATTGTTTGCCATTTTGATTAGGTTTTTCATGTGTTTTTTGTTGTTGTTGCATTAAATTAACATTTCTCTACTGTTATAGTTTGCATGCCGTGTTAGCCTTCCATAACGCCTGCTGCTGGCAGTGCCGTTTCTGTTTTATTTTGTTTTTGCACTCGCTGCTGTATCCAGTAACGAAGACTACCGTTATTTATTTACTTTGTAGTTGTTGCATTTTGTTTGCCATCACTGACGTTGTCACCATCAATATATACGCTGCTTTGAGGTCACAGCTGTGGCAAGGCTTTCCGCTCAGCTGGCACGCTTGACGCCAACGACGCCGACGTCGCAACAACCACCGCCTGGCGCTTCGATGAAATCTCTGCGACAGCAGGCAGAATTGCAAGCGGTGACATTGTTTTATCGGCAAGCATGCCCATCGTAGCGCCATGACACACGCCCACCGCCAGCAGAGCAAAGAAAGCCATGCCGACGATCGCGAACACGCCCCCTATTCGTTGCCTGCTGTTGTGGCTGCTGGCGACGCCACCTGTGAGTGCCGAGTTGTCTGGATCGCCGTTGATGCGTTTCGAACCCTCCAGGCCGAGCAAGTTGGGCGAGATGGTGGTGGGCGGCGTTATGCTCAGCAGCAGGCGTTGTTGCACATTCTTATGAAAGACATGCAGTATGGAGACCTCGCAAAGCAGCAGTATACTTGTTGTCTGGTATTTGGGCACCGTCTGGAAGAAGCCTTGCAGCACCTGGCTGTGCGGAGAGATTTCCAGAGAGGAGTATGTGGAGGAGCCTTCGAAAGCGACGTGGTTGATGCGTTGAAAGGGTGTTTTGTAGATCTGTTCAATGTAGAGAGAGAGAGAGCAGCCAAAATAGAAATTTATTATATTTTTGTGGTGAAATATATTTAAAATTTTAGACTGAAAACCTCCAAACTACGACTACTTTTGCAACGTCTCTAACTCACCTTACGTCCATTGATGTACCATGTTATGTTGGCCGGCGGATATGACGGCCCCACCGTGCAGACAGCCTTGAAGTTGTCATTCATAGTGATGACCTTCTTATCCACCTGCATGGCTGGCTCATCCTTGGGTAGTTCGATGACCTGCATGTGTGCGGCGCGTATGTCGGTGTGGAAGAGTGGCTCATCTTCGGACACCTCGCACTGGTAATTGCCGGTTAGTTCGCGGTTGACACCCTTAAGCGTCACCGAAGTGGCGTCTGAGTTTGTGAGCTGCAAAGAGTGAGAGAGAACCTCGAGTAAGTTAATTATTTTGGCATCAGCGTGGCATGACAAACTTTTTGTCTTTTGGCGATTTGCCAGCAAAAGAAAAAATAGTTTAAGGAAAGTTGTTGAAAAGTTTTCACCCAGTCAATGTTTGATTTGTCAAAGTCAACCAACTGAGGTGGGGAGGTTAAAATTTTTGAGACGCGCAATAAATTAATACCAATTGACTGTGCTTGATTAAACAGAGACGACCCGAAACGAGATAGAATGGGAGCTTACTTGTATATTGCTGACAGTGGCCTTAAAAGTTATAAAGTATGGGAATAGTAAAATTTTGTTAGAGAATACGGCTATATTTCTATGTGCACAAAAGAGAGTGACTTTAAGTTTGGTTAAAAAAATGTTTCTTCTTGGTAAACTCTATTTGTTGAGAAGAGTTCAACACAAAACACCACTGGTCCATGAACTCGAGTTCGTAATGAAAGTGAACGGTCACTAACAAGCACAATTCGCGTTGCTAACGTGTAAGATCCAGAGATACATGGTCGATAATCTAAACTTGCTATTTCTGACTTCTAAGGACAGGTTGAAACTATGAGAAACAGATACTGCTCCAAGTCAAGTGATGCTGCTGAAGTATTCGCCAGCATGCCGCCTATTGACATCCAAGGGGACGAATTCGGGCGACTGTACCAGCCGTCTTCAGTGCCGTCTTCAGGAGTAAAAAAACACAGACTGCTTCCAGACATTCATTCGTGAATAGACAGACGACATGGGGACCTAAATTTCCACCTAACCCATATACAGAGTGGGCATGGATGCTTTAGAATGTATCTATTCCAAATTAATCATGATGTTAGCCCGTATTGTCCGACGTGTACAGAGTGCATAGAAGACTCTGAACACGTATTCTTTCATTGCCTGGTTGGTTCCGCTCTGCTTTCAATGCTTCCACCTACTATATAAAAAAAACCGCTCCAAGTCAAAATTTCTTCTGCATATTCAAAATCACCCATGAGTTCGCTTCCCACTTTCTATACATGTATGTATGTCTGTATATAAAATGTCAAAATTACTAGAAATACATTCTCCAACTGAATAAGTTATCCATTAATCTCTAGGGGTGGCTTAATATTAATAGGATACGTTGATCCAAAGAACTGCAGCTTGTTAATTATAAAGTTTAAACTTTGCATAGGTGTTGAAACTGCAGCGGGCCATAAGGAACAGCAACAATGGCTGTTGTTATAAGCAAGCATTACTGCAATAATAATAATAATAATAATAATTTTACAATAATAGTGTTATTAATGTTCGGTCACACTGAAATAAGCTTCAGGCAAATTTGCCATCGCCCATTCCGTCCGAACTCCGCTTTCTGCTTCTGCTCCATCAACTTTACTGCAGCTGTTGCTGCCGTTAGCGATGAGCTACTGCAACGACAACAAAGGCGTAAGAACATCATAATGCCAGCTCAAAAAGCTTTTGTGACCAGCGTGTGAATGTGCGCAGTAATAATAACAACAACTGAAAATTGAAAATTTTATGCCTGCTAGTTGTTGATATTTGCCAATTTGCTGCTGAGCTTAATTGAGTTGAAATTTAAATTAATAATGTCTTTGTTGTTGGGTTTGCCTGAAACTCTTTTATTTAAAAATGCGAAATACAAAAGCTTTCATTTACAAACATATATACATATGTATATAGAAATGTATATATACATATTATATATCAAAAGGACAACAACAACTTAATTAGTTTATCGGTAATGGACGAGAACTGCAAACGAGAGTTGGAAAATAAAACTATAAGTTTAAATTTAACTTTAACTTTAACTTTAACTTTAACTTTAACTTTAACTTTGACTTTAACTTTAACTTTAACTTTAGCTTTAACTTAAACTTAAACTTAAACATAAACTTTAACTTTAACTTTAACTTTAACTTTAACTTAAACTTAAACTTAAACTTAAACTTAAACTTAAACTTAAACTTAAACTTTAACTTTAACTTTAACTTTAACTTTAACTTTAACTTTAACTTTAACTTTAACTTTAACTTTAACTTTAACTTTAACTTTAACTTTAACTTTAACTTTAACTTTAACTTTAACTTTAACTTTAACATTGAAATAACAGCTCTTTTAAAATTCGTTATTCCATTTTAAACTAAACCTATCTTGGTTATCTTTTTCGGTCCTCCTCAGATTCGTTTTATTATTTTAAAAAAATTTCAGAACAAGAAATTTCAGATTATTAATAATACCTACTATATTAAATTTTTTAAACATAGTATGTATATTATTAAAAAACATATGTACATAATATTATATATATTGCATATATACATAATTTATACATATTGTACGTATGTATATATTATACAATATTTTCACAAAATATTAAAATTTTTTTTCAAATACCACCAATTTAATGCATTTGCAAAATTTCAGTTGATTGAATATTCAATTGGCCATGGTAAAGGGAATTAAGAATCAATTTACAAATTTTAAATTTCTAATAATCTATTTTTACACGATCCCCGATAGTCAATCTAATGCTTTCAAATACATTCATACATACATAAATACATATGTTTGGTTTTAGTATAGACATAAACATATTTACATATATATAAATCAATATGGATATTGTAATTCGTATAATCGGTATGTGCATACATAATACCTCGCCGTTAAATAATGTATAATTAGAATGCTGTTCGTATTGGTTAACCGCCTCATATAATAAACCCAGTAGCAAATGCAGTGGTGTCATGTTATTAATTCTGAAACTTTGTCAGATCTACATACTGTAATTAAATTTTAATTTTATTATTTTAATTTAATTTAAATTGGGCTATAGCTAAAATTATACAAATGCAAAATAAAATTATAAAGTTATACAAAATACAAGGTTTAGTCACGTTACTTAATTAGCAACAATAAAATCAAACGCTTTTGTAAAAGCAATGCAAAGCTATTTTGTGTTTTAATAATTAAACTAAATAAATTTAATATAATTCATACTTAACATATATGAATTGATGTATGAATATATGTTTTTCTTCTAAGAATATCTATTTATAAATGCAGATGAATTCAGAGAAAATTGAACATCATCTGAAAGATCGAGATTCGCTATTGGGTAGCTGATGATTGATTTGGCAGAAGTAATTATAAAAGTGGTGAATTTTAGACAACAAGGTTCTTATTCCAAAGTTACTTAGGCTTTAGATCACAGCGAAGTCAGATGAATATTTGTAAGTATTAAAAAACGGTTTTAGATATACGCTTGATGCATTTTTGTTTTATATAATAAATCTCGAATGTTCTGTAACTAGTTACCAAGGGACTAGTTCTCACATAAAAAATAACACTGTTACAAGTAGGGTTACTCGCATTTACACACGAACACCCACACATCAACACGAAACCGCACAGAGAGAGATTAATACAAATTATTACTCTGGGCAATGGATAAATCTTCAGTAGAACACCACTGCGGACAACCACAACCGATGACTGCATTCAATTTCATTGCATTTCGCATTTACTCATGACTTAATTACATATCATAAACACATACACATGTACATACATCTATGTTTGAGCAATATTGATATGCGAATGTGTGCGCTGATTAAATTTGGTCGATTTTAATTTGACCTATGGATGTCACTGGCAAAACTTTTGAAATATGCAATCAAAAATATATTGCAAATACAGTTGTCCGTTTGTGTGTGTGTGGAAATATACACTGATAAGGCCAAAAGCGTTATTATCATTGTCGTGGTCAGTAAAGCAAAATTAGTGAAATTCGCTCTTGCTAATTTACATTATTGAATCTCAACTGAAGAGCACAACTGATGAAATAACGGGCTGGGAGATTAGTTTGCAGCAACAAGCCTGCATGTGTTTGTTTGTCACATTAATAACTGCTTGGCTGATAAGCAATTATTGCTTTAGCGTTCGGCGCTGCCTATCGAAGTTGTCACCAGCAGGCGAACTTATTTAGCTGCTGGTTGCTGATAACATGCAAATGTTATATTATCGGAAAATTAAATAAATCTGTGTGCTCAAGTGCTTATATTAATTAATTTTATTTTATTTTTTAGATGTTTAAACAATATTTTAATTTTGAATTTGAGACTGAATGATTTCGCTCAATTCTTGCTAATCGCATTTTTGCATTGACCAATTGCAGAGCATTTCATTTTTAATTATTTAATGCTTGATATTTTGCATAATATTCATAAATTTTTTTGCTTTCGCGCATCTTAACTTGATTATTTTGCGCTGAACATTTCAAACTCAGTGTGATGTCCTCAGCGATTAACAGTATTATACCATATATGTATCTGTATCTATCAGCAATTGTTATGCATATATGTAGTTAAATAAAATTTCGAGTAGTGCTCACTCTTTCTCTTTCTTCAAAAATTGTTTGCTATAGTGAAATAAAATGCCGGTCGACACGTCGTTTTGTAGCTATAACTGAATATAGCTCATGGCACGTCAATCCTCATCATTACCGTCCGTACATGTGAAGTTTTAGAAGTCTTCGACATACAGATTTGGCGAAAGATTTATGGACATACATATGTATGTCTATGCATTATTAACGACGCTTATGAAATTAGAAAACGTTAAGTTCTGTCAACTGTATAACGATGGTTAACAGTTCAGCGAATAAAAACACGTCGTCAATGCTAAAGTACCGTAAGGTTGGTTTTTAAACATTTTCGTCATACGTCTCTGTTAGCTGTCAAATTTAACCGAGAATAAGTTTCAGAAACTGTGAAAAGAAATAATTTCGGATGGAACATTGGAAATTATTGTTTGTAAATTAGGAAAATTGGACTAGTTGCTCGGTAAATTTTTTAAAACTTTTTTATTAAAAGTGATGTTACATGACGACATCCACCTCAAGAAGTGTTAATGGATTGCAAAGACTGTTTCGAGACAACTTTCAAAATATATTTTAATATACATATATACTTGTATAT